GGCTATCACCATAGATTAACCGATTAGAAATTACCAGAAGATTCTTCCCCGGATTCTGGGAAAGTCCCGAGAATACCAGAAAAAAAAGAAACAAGTTCGCCGTCATAATTGTTTTCCCGTAAAACTTCCGTGGGAACGAGAAATAATCTCTCCTGTCTCAAAAATGTAAACTAACGACTCGTTATCATCAAAAGATTTTCCTCCCAAAGTGAAATGAAGAATAGATGTAATTATATAATACGTTCTCATTCATTCTCTCTAATAGGGCACAGAGTTATCCCGTTGAATTACCACAGAATTTCACCTGTACAGATTGTACAGTGAGATTGCTGCGTGAGGCTGAGGAGTGGGGATCAAATTACAGGTTCTGGTCCTGTGCGGATATTGACGTAAGTTGTAAAAAAATAAGTATGAGCAAAAAATAAGACCTGAGCGGCTCTGGAGACATCGATTAATCATTCGTACGACAAACAGATAATCGAGAAGAAGACGTACAGAGAAGATTGCAGCGGTCATGGAAGATATCTATTGGGTAGATGCAGGTGTGATCGGTTTTATCACGGCTCTAGGTGTGAATTCAGAGAGGATTGCCTGGACGACTCAGACTGCGGTAATCAGGGAACATGTGTCGACAATGGTGGAACAACAGCCCCCACCAAACATTGTTATTGCAATGTCGGATGGTTTGGTCCTGGATGTAGCAAACGTTAGTCACAACTTCTCACCATTATTTTAATGCTAATTAGAGCTAATAACAAGAGTGAGGGGCAATTATCAAAAATTTTTCACTTCACTTTCCCATATTTTCTGTCATTAACAGCGTCATTACGAAATTATTACGCTTCTCTCTGGGAAAAAAATCTTTTCCCCCTATAAAACGTGGCATAATGCCATATTGTAGAGATCTTGGCAACATTTTTTGGATATAGAAAATACGTTGAGAGTTTGCGATTAACTGCGATCAACTTTTCCACTGAAATTCCACAGAATTTCGGCATTGAAACTGATTCAACAGGATGATAATAATATAATGTTGAAAATAATAATGCAAAGTTATTATTAACGAATTTTTTACATTACTCACATTTTTTTTAATTTCGGAAAATTCCACTGCCTGTTATATCAATCCATTAATTACCGAATGCTTCATTAATCTCTTTATATTTGTGGAAACATGAAAACCATTAACAATGCAAAATAGAAATTGAATTCGTTGGTTTTCCCCAGGTATCATATTCTCCCCCGATATCATAAAACTTCCTGTTCACCTGTAACGTTTTTCCATTATCGAGCAACTTTTTTACTGTGTAATAAAAGAACAACCAATCAACAGGATCACCGGTGAAGACAACGGAAATTGATCTCGACGGTTACACGATGAAACGTTTTTCCGATGACTTTGCATTTTACTGGAGAATCCTCAAGGACACGAGTGAATTAGAAGGTGTAATAGTGGTGAATGGTACATCGTGGGTTGGCGTTGGTTGGAGACCAAGTAGTTTGACCCCAGAATGCCGCGCCTTCCCCGAGATTCATGGTAAGAGCGAAGAGGCTGAGCCACTGCCACGTCCCGAGCCAAAATCCGAGCCTACGGCTAGATTTAATGCTGCCAAGGCCAACCAGCCATCAGTAGATCCTGAGCCTGAGGCAACGGCCCCCAAGAATGGACGCAAACATCCACCAAAACTTGGAAATCCATCTGGTGAAGCCGATAGCGAGCCTGAACCGAGTGCTGAGCCATCAAGATCAGGGGCTAAACGACGATCGGCAAAACCCCATGATCTCGGTGTTACACCAAGAATTGATACTGACGTGACAGTTCAAACGAGCGTTACTTATCGCGTCAGCACTAAACAAGGTGAGAAGTGAAAATAAATAGGGATTTCTAGTGTGACGGGTATCTTATTGAGAAAGGAAATTTCCATTTCCATTCACCAAGGGGAAAGCTTTTTTGGTTTACGAGCATCTGAGACATCGGATGAACAAAATTCTCTGATTATTGAACAAGTGTATGTAGCACTCAATCCGCTAGACCGGGAAGAATTCCATTTTCCCTGCTAACTCCATGAACCTTCTAATGACAGCCATAAAATTATGACTTTATTACTCCAGGATAATTTCGAGGAATTAATAAAATCGTAATGGGCAAAGTTCTTTACCTATACCTTCAGTTCTGAAATGAATTATTATTAATCTGCTTACAGGTCGTAAGAAGAGATCCCCAGAGTCACTAAGTGCTGAGCCAACTGGTAAGTTTAAAAGAATAATAAAAAATATCTATAATGACGACGTATTTACACTGAATCATCTCACACGGGGTTATTCCGCGAGTTTGTCGTTTCCTCATTTACGATATTCGCTCGGATGCACTGGAAAAATGAATGTTTCTTTAGTCTCAGACGAGGGAGTACCGTGTTGTTAAATTGCTCCTTTGGATAGAATATCGCAACGACTTTTTCTTTTGTTTCAAGTATCCCATGCCTATTTTCATTTCGCGCATCTCAATTTGTTGCCATCTTTTTTAATATTCACACGAATAACTGAGAATCCTCGGTTGTACTATTTTTATTTAATTTGTATTGTCTTACCGGTTTTACCTTGTTGAGGAATCACGGCATCACATTTTCACAATTATTTATGAATTCATCATATACAGAAGAATTGAGAATTGCAGTTGTATTTAATCTCACGTAGAAATGAATAAAATTTAAGCAGTAGCTACTGATTTTAATTTACGTAGATTATAACACGTAATTATCACACAAACGTAGTGTATTATATAATTGTACGAGATTTAGTTCACTCACCTCACTCATCCACTCACTGTACACATTAAAATTACCTCAATACTGTTGTTTATCATTTTTTCAAAAGCACATGGTGTTGGTTGAGTATAGTGGCATGGTGTTGTTGCTTTTGTTGCACAGGAGAGCCTGCGAGTGAACCGGAGCCTGATAAATTACATCCTGAGCCCACATCCGAACCCGTATCTGAACCTAGTAGTGAGCCTACCTCTGAACCTAAATCTGAACCTATTAGTGAACCTTCCTCCGAGCCAAAATCCGAGCCAAAATCCGAGCCAAAATCCGAGCCAAAATCCGAGCCAAAATCCGAGCCAACTAGTGAGCCAACTAGTGAGCCCACCTCTGAACCAAAGTCTGAACCAAGTAGTGAACCCGTCTCCGAACCAAAATCTGAACCCATTAGCGAGCCTTCTGCTGAACCCAAATCCGAACCTACTAGTGAGCCTTCCGCCGAACCAAAATCTCAACCTACTAGTGAACCCATTTCTGAACCAAAATCTGAACCAAAATCCGAGCCAACTAGTGAACCACCCTCAAAACCAATATCCGAACCAACAAGTGAACCCTCCTCTGAACCAAAATCCGAGCCTGAACCCGAATCTGAACCCGAACCATCATCTGAACCCGAACCCAATGGAAATTTAGACGTAATATCACATCCCGAGCCCGCAGCTCCACTGGATACCGAGCCTAGCACCAAATTGGCATCAACCAAAGGTAATGATTTAACTCCAGTAGTGACTTAGCAATCATCACAAAAGTATGTAGTACCCGTACAGTAGAATTACTAGTTAGAGACGTAAAAAGAAAAGTTATCAGTAGCGATTGGTGCCTACTCATGAGTTCTCAGTGTGTACAGTCACTCGATTATCAGTAGAACGTGTTAAATTTATCTAGAGGTAAAATGCTTGAATAACGTGAACAAAGGGAATAACTTAGCGTTTGACATTTTCCATGAAATTAAATAGCTCCTGAGAGACCGGAGATGCACAAGTATACTCCGAAGCACGATTTCAATCCGATGGATTGTACTGACATGGTGATTGGTATGGCAAGAGGCAATACCCATAGGATCGGTGACTATTATACCAGAGATCGTTCCACTCCTCGACGTGACGATTTTTGGGGTGGAAAGGAGAGTCTAACAGCTGCTATGGGATTTGAAAAGGATGGAGTGACTACTATCGTATTCAGACGAAAGCTCGCTACCAATGAGCCCACTGACCACGAGATTGTCAATGGAAGTATGCAAGTAATATGGGCCAAGGGACAGGAGCCTGGTAAATATATTCATCAGCCGGCTAGTGGTATTGAAAAGAGCAGAGTCAGCGTCAAAGACTTTTATAAAGCTGATGAACTCAAGTACCATGGGCACAGGAGTCAGAGGGGCGTTGCTGCCTTCAATTTTTTCGGTATGTTTCATCTATTTATTTTGGTTTTTTTTCTTTAATGACCTTTTAGGGTTTACTGTATGCTCTAATTTTTTGTCGGGGTAAAAAATATGGAGTGAGATTTTATTTGAGGAGTGGAAAGCCTTTGAGGCATGTTACTTTGGGCTTTGTAAAGGGGATGATTGAGAGTTGTTTCAATGGGGTTATCGTGTGCTCACAGAGGAGAAGAACAAGGAGGAATTTGGGGGGCATAATTCACTCCTTGAGAGCGGAAAATGCGGAGGTGAATGGAGACATCCGAGGAACTGTGCGGTTGAAAATGCCACCTGCGATTATTACATTCGTTGGATCTACAGGGCGAAGAAGGTAAACACACTCGACATCGCTTTCTCTTTTCTTGATTATTCTCGGGTGAACACCTTCGGGCTAAACTTTCGTTCAAGTTAAATGAAATGGCACCGGTGTTGGCAATTTTTTTTTTTAATTCACAAGTGCCACTTGGAGGAGTATAAATGCAAATTTCAGGAGTTGAGGATTTTTTTTTTTTTACTTCTTCTGCGCTCATGCAGACGTTCGGGGTAGTTTTTTAAACAATGGGGATGAGATGTTTGCTTTGACGAGATATGAAAATGCAAGGGGTGTGGTCACAAAGTACTGGGGGTTAATGTAATCTTTTTTATATGCATAACTGCATTTTTTTTTAGGATGAAATGACTTTCACAATTATCACAAAGGATACGGATAAGTGGACGGGCGTTGGTTTCTCGGAGGACGAGAAAATGGTATGAATTTCATTGAGTGTCGATGGCCTCGTAGAAATCGGGTCGGCAGATTCTATTAAATTTTTATAGAAAATTCCTGATTTTCACTCTTCATTGCCTTTTTCACACTGTGAAAATTTTTTTGCTATTTAGGTCGCAAAGTCAAATGAATTTCCCATTATATTAATTTAAATACAGTTTCAATTGAAAAGTCGATTATTTATTGATTTTTATAATTCGAGGAAATTGGCTTTTTCATCGTGAAAATTCAATCAAGTTCACGTGAATTTCAAGTAGATGGAAAATTCGGGGGAATTATCGCTCGAATTTTCAGTTTTTTCATTTTTTTTCACTGCGGCGTGCTTTTGATAATTGAGAATTGAAAATTCTGAAAATTCAAGATATTAATTAATTGATCAATGAAAAAATAATCTCCAGAAACGTGAAATAATTTTGTCACTGTGAAACATTTCTCGATACTTCACTTAAAAATGTACGTTTAATTATCCAACAGTGTAACTTAATATCCCTAAAGTAATTCGATGGTGGAAAATTCTCCATCGGTTGAGAAAATTTGAGGGAATCTGCGGTCTCGTCCAGAACAGACGAGAGATAATCACGACCCAGTGGATTTTCAGAGTAATTAATTGATTGGATTGTGTTTAGAGTCAAACAGACGCTGTTTTGGGTTGGGTCGACAGGTCGAATGGTCGTGCCTTTGTCATGGACACATGGGTAAGTGGCTATAACATGCCCCTTTTGGATCAATCGCAAGACATCATGAACTACAGCGGTAAACTCGAGAACGGCATGACAACACTGACATTCACCCGGAAGCGATCAACCAAGGATAGCAATGACCTATCATTTACCGATGATCATTGTCTCTACATGATGTTCCCTGTCAAGGGTGGTATGTTCAATGCAGTAAACAAAAAGCTGCGTAAACATCTGAGTATACCCATTGTCTCATCCGAGAGAATATGCATCAAGTCTTGTGGCATCGAAGGTAAACTCAGCAAAATTAATGGCATCATTCTATGCCATCCTTTGTCTTCATCCTTCGTTTTAACACCGAGAAGGGGGATTAAATTTATAAACATTTCAGAGGAAGACGAGGGTCCCTCTACACCATCACCATCGCGACTTTATTATGATGTCGAGGTAAAACTTGTGAATCTTGGTACTGGCTTCCAAGCACCACAGCCAGGTAGTGAAGATTTTGAGGTAATTTCAAACACAATTTCCGACAATTTCGGCCCCACTTTGACCAAATTACCAGGGTATTACGCAATTAAACTCAACGAGCTGCAGAGGTAAGTGAATTCAAGTTTTTTAAACTCACCATTTGTGATTTAAAATGACTTTGTCGAAATCCCCTCTCTAATTAATGTCATTATCTCTTGTCAAAGGAATGGTGATGATGGTGTTATTGCCAAGATGAATCTGATATTGGACAAAAATGAGGCAAAGGGAAGAGCCTTGAGGCCGAGTGACACTGTTGCAGTTGCTGAGGGAGCCCTCAAAGAGGCACTCTTGACTGGTAGAGTTGGTTCACTTACGGTTGACCCTCAGTACTTGTTTGTCAGAGCTCCACTATGTACGTAAAATTTTTATAAAAGAAAAAAAAACAAAAAAAAAACAAATAACAAAAAATGCATTTCCCTGGCAAAAGTGTAAAATGCAAATTTGTGGTAATTTAATTATCTTTTAGTTATTATTTTTTTCTATTTACCTCTGTTTCTGCTGCTCTCTAGCTAATGACCTGGTCGATGAGTTGGACGATGGCATCAGATCAAACGACTTGTTAATGGGTGCAACAAAGCTCTACGTTGTCATTGGTTGTGTTGCTGCGCTGGTTGCTGTAGCACTCCTTCAGGCAACCTGCACTGTGTACAAAGCAACTAGGAAACGTACCACAAAGGTAATACATCAATCTCCATTCCCATTGTGTATTACAATTGTTGGAATAACATTAATCAAAACTTGGAGTTAACTTACATTTTCCTTGGATGTACTAGTAACGCAAATTGTCTCATTTGTTTTCTCTCCTTTAACTGCCGAGAATATTTATCTGTTAATGTCCTCGTCATTTTTTTTTATTTTACCCGTGATAAAAAAAGACGTTTCCATCTTTGACTCATTTTTTTTTCCACCGTTTTGTTGTCTGTAACTGATGAAGAAAAAAAATCTCACTGCTTTGCTTGTTGTTGCATGAAACGCGCTCTTTGCGACCTGACGATATAGAGGGTGTACTCGCTGCCTCTGGTATCTTCTCCTATCTCGGCCAATCCAATTCATCGAACATCCGCGACCCAGTATCACCGAAAAAATGATCATGGCCATCATCATCAGCATCGTCATCATAATGACCATATACCACCCAACATGCATCGGCCTAGTCCACATTGGTAGCGATCGGGGGGAGGGTTTTATTAATCACTCGAGCTTTTCTCTCAAGGTATCTCTTGCTTTTCTGCTCTCTCTCATTCACATTCACTCCAAGTTTTGATTAACCAGTTTTTTTCTTTTCGATTTAGTCGAGCGAATCAAGGGTTGAACTGGAATTCAATTTCAAGTATTCAATCTTGAAGTCATGAAAGTGCATGAATATTTTAATTTAAGGATTATGGATTTTTTTTTATTTCTTGTAACATTGAGATTATTTCCGTTTTGATCAAAACTCAGAAATTCCTTCACGAAAATGTAACGGAAATTATCGAGAAATCACTCACGGTCATTTTAAAAATTAATGGAATATGTTTGAAGCACTAGTGTTATTACTCCCGAAAATCGGTACATAGAATTCATCCACTTAAGATGAACAGGTTAATTAATTCAATTAATAATATTACTCAGCAGGAGCGTTTAATAGCTCACAATGCTTGGAGGGATTACTCGACGGGTGCCAATACAAATTTTGCCTTCGAGGCATTTGAAACGGAGGAGAAAGCTCCACCACCGCCAGTATCGAGTCTTCCAAGGCACAGGGACGTCACGGATGGTGTTATACCAAGATCAAGCAATGGAATGAGTACAATGGAGAATCACCACCGATTGAGCAGTCATCAGCAGCTTTCAGCACCAAGAGCAACGTACAGTCTACCACGTGCCCCTGGTCCACGTCAGCCACCTCCACCTCCTCAGCCAGGGTACTATACCCAGGATCGTCGAAATCATCGACCCAAGAGTCACCACGGTAATGGTATATCATCTCAGCAGACATCTCAGCAGCCAGACTTTTATTTCATGCCAAGTCAGAGGAAATACAGTGGTGAAGTGGTACGTGTCTACGTTGATTATGGTAATCAAAAGCCCAAATAGAATTCTCTAATGCAGAAGAACCTGTCAGACTCTAGGTGAAACGATGCAGAGTAGTGCTTGTGTACATAATTGCGAGATTTTTTTTATCATTGTTATCTGAGTGACGTTTTCCAGTGGCAAATCCTCCGGTATTAACACAGAGATATCACGGTGAGAGCGAAAATACACTGTTAGAATAGATAAAATTTTACGATTGTGACCCTTTTTTTTTCGAGTTATAAAATGCTTTTTTTTTTACTCCACAAATTTCTAACGGCGTGTGAGTGGTGCTGAAAATGCCTGGAGTGAAGTAGTCACTGGCGAAGTGTCTCATTTTTGTTGTATATAAAAGAAAGAAAATAGTGGGCGAGACCTCATCAAAAATCCCCGTCACGTGCCCCGAGTCTCGACGTATTGGACTAGGACAAAAAAATTCATCTGTTTTCATGTAGACGAGGGATGAGTACTTGGAACAATGAGAACAAAAAGAATGTTATCACTAAAAAATAACCCTGCGCTCTCCACCAAAGAGACTTATGTATTAATATTTACAGAACGATGATAAGTGCAGGGTAGAGTAAATCATATTTTTTTTCTCGTTATGGAATAAAAAACTTGGGCACGTGATATAATGGTAATGTTATTGCTCCGACGTCCCAAACCAAGTACCTACGTTATACTCTAAGAAACAATTGCAAAGTGCTATTTATGTAAGTTACCCCTAACGTACTATAATACCTGTAGATAAAGAGAGAAAAAAAAATTGAATGAAATTTTTGTTCGCGAGATGTGAATTTCGAGTGTTAACTCGTATTATTTACCCCCCAAGTGCAATAAAAACGTTTGTACATTTTTTTTAACCCAAACTTTTTTTTTACAATTTCAATAACCTCTCAGCATTAAAAAGACGACAGGATTAGATGAGTATTTGAAGGTACGTGTCAATATCATTTATTTTATTTTGCTCCTTTTTTTTTTATTATTTAAGTACTTAACTTAAAGGCATATGGGTTCCTCTGGACACATCCTCTATTCATCAATAAATCGTTAACGTTAAAACACTCTCTTAACTCTAATTTTAATGCTGTAACATGTTTGTTGTTTAATTATCTTATTTATAGAAGACTGAGTGTAGTAAATTGCCAGTGTGCGCTAGCGTTCCCTTGCCTATTCGTGCAGAGACCTTTTGCTATTCGTGGCAGAAACTTGATTTATCTCTCACTCTGATACTCACTCGTTTTTATCGTGATGTACATTGCCTGATCCTGTCAACTCTACAACTATGTCCCTTGTTTACGTATTCCTTTTGTTTTGTTTTTGAAGAATTGTCACTGAAGTTTTAGATCCACAACAATAGTATGCACGTGACACTCGAGGTTTTTTGTTTTTCTTTCTACATTCCTCAGGAATTGGGTCGGCCTAACGAGATACTACAGGCAAGGCCATTGTCGTGACCCTGTCCAATTTTCAGTGTTTTTCAGTTTCGCATATGTCTCACACACACACTCTATGATTTATCAGCGACACACATTGGCTCAATTAAAGTTACTTCAATGCGATTAAATGGTACATTATAGTTCATTTTTCATTGTTTGTTCGGAGGCACATTTTCATCCCCGACCCAGATGGCAACAATAGAAGAGAAAAAGTAAAAGAGAGAAAAAAAAAACGAATTATACAGTTCATGATTTCCGAATCCGCTAACGGATAAATATTCATTCTAAAATCTATAAAGTTCATCGGATTGTTGACTAATGATCAACAACCGATTGAAATCTCAACGACAGCGACGGCAGTTTTTTTCCAAGCGTCGTCGAATAATTCACACATTAATGGAATTTTGATGGCAATAACAATAATTATAATACTACGGTACCGTGCGCACGATCGATTTTCTAATTTCAATTTTCATCGTAAGTGCGCATAACATTTCTCATATATATTACGTTAATAATTGGTTTCCGTTTTGTTTTTTAAATGACACTAAAAGCCAACAAAGATGCATTCAACCAATAATGATAATGTTCCCTCGGTAAATATCATTGTCGAATAAAACCGAAAGAAAATAAAATATTCCACATGATGAAGGAGAAGTTGACGCTCGGACAAGGCACAACCTTGCTCGATTCGAATGACCTATACCTCCAGCATTGTTCTATCCTGACATCAGTGCACTGGTCATTCGATAAAGATTTATATCTGTTTTATTCTCATTCCTGGATGACGAAGAAGAGGGCAACGGTGGTGACTAGCCTCTCGACAACAAGTACATCACATTTGTTCGTCACAGTGAACCATTATTTCATCCCTTTTAAAGATTATTAATAAGGTATGAGCGCTGATGGGTGAGCACTCTCACGGGTCCAGTTTGATTATTTAATTGTTAAGTGTGCCCCACCGGTGCTTCTACTTCGCCTAATTTTTCATGATTTATAACATCCTTGCTGCTCACTTTCTCTGCCTTACATCCGAGTCCTTGTTGGGCGTCGGTTTGCTAATTACAAGAAAAAATCAGGAAAGAAAAAGAATGTAATTGTAAGATTTTTTTCCTCGAGAGAAAACATCAAAGTGTTAGTGGAAAGTGGCGTGAGGATTTTATGAGCGTCGGATAAAAATTCACAGTCAAGCCAGAAGGAAGAACAACCCAAGGGCGCAGAAGGGAAGAGGAATCCGAGGGCAATCCACTGAGGATTTGGAGTTGAAATAAATTCACTCCTCATCTATCCTTAATTCCCATAAATAAAGACATAAATCCCGTGTCAGTGCAAGCACGAACGACCAATTGTTCGTGCGAATAGGAATGCGGTTTTAGCTCCCTGTCAGAATAAGGAGGAATGAGGCGGAGGTTGCGAGGGGATGCTGGATGGTTGAAAATCGTCACCGAAGTGAGCGTACGGTGGGGTAGGGATAGATCTCAGGGTGGAATTGTGGTACGGTTCTCCCAAGGGATAACGGAATTGTACGGTCTTGTAAGGTGGGCTGTAGAAGGCGGATACTGGTGTCGCTGGTGGTTTAACTGGGTAACTCTGGTGGATGTAGTGCAGGGAATATGCAGTCATTGGATTCTCATGGGAGTAAATCGGGGTTTTGGTGTGTTGAGGTATCAAGAGGCAAGGGATTGCAGTGTCATATCTCTTATTTTTTTTTCTCCACTCCCTCTCCTTTCTCACTTCTTCCGAGACATAAACTTGACTTACTGGCACTCGTGCATTGGTGTAATGCAGGGTGAAAGCCAAGAACTTCAGGTAATGCGCGAAAAGCATGAGTTAACTTTAGTTGGCACGAGGTATTTCAGAATTCTTCAGATAACAGTGAGAATCTTACGATAAACAGTGGTATTTGCTATGGCATGCTATCAACTCGGTGCGAAAAGAGCAGTGGGATGGGTTAATACAAGAAATTCATAACTCACGTGTCAGGGCTTTGGTCAGTATCGGATTCCTCCAGCTCCGATTTGTTACGTTTTTTCTCGTAGATGAGAATAATTGCACACAGGACAACGACCTCCGCGCAAATACCGAGGAATGGCCACAGTGCTGCCAGTCTATCCTTAACTCGGAGGGTTAATTCAGCCTTGCCAGAAACATGAAGATCATCAAATTTATTCCAGTCGTATCCCAGGTAGCATTTTACGTCACCGCGATCGTTCTTGCCAATGTTCTCCACGGACAGTGTACCACCGTTAACATTTCCATTTCGTAGCAATTTCACTCGTCCCTCGTCCGTTGTGTAATTTTTACTCGCAAATTCCCATTGTACTTTGATACCTGGGAGGTGAGTGTCGTCTGTGCAAGACAATAACAGCTTTTCACCCTCCACAACTGTCACTGATCGAGGAAAAATTGCTGGATATGGTTTTCCTGGAATTATTCAAATTCACGGGTTGAATATAAAAATGGAAATTTTCATTAACTCACTTCAGTGGGTAAAAGGAGAGAATAAGATGATAATTTGTTAAACTCGGGTATAAACTTAGTCAACAGTTTGAGTGCATGTACAAAGAGAAGAAATACAAACGCCAAACAATATATTCTGAAGATAATGAATGAATTTGCATATCTTTCCCATACATAGAAATTAGAACCCATAAATTAAACTTACCAACTATTTTGAAAGTTGTGCTGGCATTAGCAATTCCAGTGACATTGCAAACATATGTTCCCGTGGCATTCGTAGTGGATGTGATACTGAGTGTGTCATTGTGTTCATTAATCTGAACCGATGGCTTGCTCACACCCTTTAAATACTCCGATATTGGTTTATCCTCGTAGAACCAAAGGACTTTTTCATTACCCGTACGATTCTCACAATCCAAATTCAATGGTAAATGCTCCTTCACCACAACTTCATACTTGATTGCTGTAATCACACAACATGACCAACACAAAAGTGATGATTAATCCAGAACAACATTAACGATAACCGACAATTAATCATGCCATCCGAGCGAGAAAAGCTAAGACATTAAATAATGATTAAAGTTATTCCCTCGTAACCAACACTACTACTCTTAATACCAGAGGCATCACGAAGTTCTCGAAAATGCTTCCAGCAAACACTCGAGAAGTACAAAATTTTGCATTACGAAACTTCTCGAGGAAAAATTCAACAAAAGCAAAACGCAAAGAGGGGATAAAAGCTAGCAGAAAGGATTCAACACCCCGGTGGTGGATGGTGTCTCTGTTCTGCGCGCACTTTTATCTTCACACATATATATTTTGCAACCTCTTCACCCCAGCAGGGAAAAAAAAAAAGGCAAACCGGAGGACGAGCGTGTGCCGAGCCCGACCAAAGTCAGCGATGCAAGCAGGTTACTCCCAGTAATTAAACGCAAACTCCTGGTAAATTACAGGCAGTAATTACCGTGAGCGTTTAGTCGACCTGGGCGAGCATTTTTACACCAAGCAGTTATAGATGGAGAGCATGAGGCGATATAAAATCTAGTGGGTACGAAAGGAAAAACGACAGGGATGAGTCTCGCACGTTGACGTTCGGAATACGTTGCCTCACATTTACCTCTTCTCCATCTTTTTTTTTTTTCCTCACCCCTTTGTTTTGCCCTCTCTTATTCACCCCCTCTTTCCCTTTTCCCACTTTTTTTTTTTCCAACACTCGTTATCAACGAGATGCACACGCGCGCACGACCGCTGCATTGAAGAGGGGCTAACTGCAGGTGCAGGGGTCTCGTAATGACAAAAACGTTTGCCGTCGGCTTTAACGACCAGCTTTTGCCGTATCCCCCTAACGCTCTTTTACGCTGTGCCACCATCAACGGATTCACTCCATAGCACACGTTACGCTTGTACCGTAGGTACCATCCCCTGCCAGATTGGAGGTGTAAAAAAGGCACAAGTTGTTGGGAAAAATTGCGTTTTAAAAAAGCAGGGCGATTCACAAAAAAAAAAATAAATAAACAAAGAAAAGTACGAGGGAGTTTTTGGATAGCCTAGTCCGCAGGGATGGGCTGTACTAGTTCTTGTTTATATGGTGGATTATTGTGGGATGCTGCTCACGCGGTTTGCCACAATGTGTGACATGTCTGGAGTTGGACAAAAGTGTGCGTTGGTAACGCGGATGCTGAATTTTCTATTTTTTTTTTTTGGCAACTGCAGTATGCAAAATACCGGCAATTACTCTCGTTTTACATTTCACAATTTAACGGACAAACTTTCTACCGGTAGTCCAGCAAAAAAATAATGACCGAATAGTTGATGAAAAATAAACGCACATTGACGCTATGCATTACACGTTCAGGATGATTAATGTATTTTATTCAAATTCTCGTGTGAAATGAAACTTCAAATGAAGTATGAGAGATAGCCTGCAGTTATTATGATAAAGACTGCTACCAGGGGGTGAAAGGGTGAGAGGGTGAGATTGTGATAAATGAACACGCCACAGGGAACGTCTTGCGACTAGATTAACCGAAGAGTCATCTCCCCGATTGAGTGGAAAACTTGAAAGGGGAGAGATATTTTCAAAGGAGGAACTTTACCTCTCAGCGACAAACGCACGCTGGAGGGCTAGTGGTTTTCACCAGTGAAAATGAAAAGGAACAAAAATAAACTCCATCTGGATGTATCAGACTTGTGGCGATAGTTTGGTGGGCCAACAGTGTCCAGAAGACTCTCTGATCCTGTGATGCATGGCTGACTCTTGTAACTCCATGCATAAGACATTTGTGGCGAGAGGCGGAATAAAAAAAAAACTGCTCGTGAATCATTCACTCGGTGAAACTCCTTCCTCGTTTTCTTTTCAGTCCGTGGAATCCAATAATTCATGGGGTTTTCGGGGGCTGGAGGAGGGCTGGAGGAGGGCTGGAGGAGGGCTGGAGGCGGACTGGAGGGAGGTGGAAATAATTCAGTTTAGATGATAATTTTTTTGTGGGGAAAAGTTGAGCGTAGATACACAGCATCGGAGCACGGGGTTGAAGTGGAAATGGAGTAATGAATATTCTGCAGTGTGGACGCGTCGGTAATTTGCATTCGTAGTGTATAATCCGAACAATTTGGAGATCGGCGGAAGGTTAAGGGAAGATTGGGGTGAGGCCATGGTAACAGCAACGGCAGTTAGTCTCCTGTACCTCGCAGCCTCCACCACCTGATCGTCCTGTTATGGTTCATGGACCATTTGTGGCATCCAGGGGTTAGCGATAAGGGGAAAATCCGGGGGTCGATACAGTTCACCTTCAAACTCTGTCACTCGTAAAGTGCGATTCTGTTAACCTCACGGGTTACCTGTGCTCATGCATTAATATGCATTAATATGCATTAATATGCATTAATACATAATGCAACCTGCACGTGTGAAAATGCTAATATCCATAAATAAATTGAACGGCTGAATTCACCCCATCACCCTTTTTTCATCGTTGAAATTTTTAATTGCAAGAAAGCTGAAGATGCAGCTAAATTAAGGGCGAATTTAGCAGGTAGGAGGGACTACTCTAAATCCATCTGCAATTCAAAAATTCCAATTAAAATTCCGGATTTATTTAAATCCGATGTTATATTACTTCAGCAAAATTTGAATACCAAGCTGTACGAGTGGAGATCCGTAATTAGTAGTGGAAACTTCATAAAAAGGATATAAATTTAACCCTCTGAAGCTGGAAATTATAATCCACCGGTGGATAATCAAACCGTAACGATTCATTTCTAGATATTTTCCGAGAGCCTTCCCTACAGCTCTTCCCTACAGTTGCCGAGTATCTGGCGTTGAGTAATGTTTCCATTAGGAAAAATCCAATTAAACAGAAATGAAAAACCAATTCAGGGGATAGAGATTGTGCGCCCTATACAATAATGTATACACATTGAATCAGTATTTGCCTTTGAATAACCAGAGAAACCTCGAAAAACACTAATTGAACTTCATTCATTTTTTACCACCAAAAAAATTAAAATAAAAATAAAAAAACCTTCCAATAGAAATATGGAGAGCCAGTGAAATGGAGTGGGGATTGCACCGTGCATTCCAATGGCATAACGTATGTACGAAACAGTCAGGACATTTACATATATATTATTGCCCACGGCTGAGGGTAGCTCTCGCCAACAACACCCGGTTTACCAAATCCTATATACCTATGTAGAGAAAACGTTATTCTCTCCTTCTCTGACCTCAAAACAACTCGACCACTTCAGAACCCTCTTTCCACCCCTCTCTGCCCCTTCTACCCCCTCTACAGGGTCTACCCCCTTGTCCATTTTAGCGCACTGACCGTTCGCACGGAATATATACAGAACAGATACACGTGTAGTCGATATTATCCTTCATCCTTCTAAAATATAAATGTAAATCCGTACCACCTAGCTCGAATGCACTTGCCAGAGTTATGGCAATTCGTTTTCTCGATATGAAAATATACCACCCTGGGAATATACTCGTTACATTTATCCTTTGGAGGGACGAAAGGCTGTGAAAAAAAAAACATATGGAAAATATATTATAAGCGTATATTGAGATTATGTATATGTTTACGCGGCTTTCGTTTTTTTAGCACTTTTTTTTTAGTCTTCATTTTGCCCCTCTTCTGCGATGAAAAATAAATATGATGGCGGAGGAGGGAAAGGTGAGGGGGGGGAGGGATAAAGCAGCTACACCTCAGAGTGTATTGCACGGTGTAATATTCTATGCATATAGGCGAGGAGCTTCGGAGACCGTGGAAAAATAAATAAATAAAAGATACCCTTCGTGGAAGAACTCTCGAGGATTTGAGGATTAAAAAGTCCGACGGAAAAGTTTCGCAACAGGATCTTTTGCGGTTGCCTCGGAAGGGCTATCATGGAGGAAAAATGTCTTTTTTTTTTATTTGCTCATGGTAATGAGACTAAAAAGTCGGTGTACCTGGATTTAGGAGCGGAAAGAATGGACTGAGGATTCCGAGTGAAATAATAAATGCGATGGGGTGAAATCGAAAATCTATTTGAATCGGTGAATAATTTTTGTAAAGAATCTCTCGATAGACCGTTGGATTTTGTCCCTGAGCCGTACCAACTCCGGCAGTCTGATGTCAGGGAAATCCTCCAAATTCTCGGAGGATTTGGATTTTCTGGTCACGCTCCAATGGGGCTATTTTAGCATCCGGTGAGTCCTTCAGAATTGCTAGGACACGTTCACAGTCGCGTGCGGATGATATTCGTTATGTTTGAGGAGGTGAGCGAGTGTTTAAAATCGTATAAATGAGTTGAGTTGAATGTGCGGGGTGGAATTTATGGGGTCACTTTTGCCAGGTGCACTTGACGCTTTCTAACAGAGGGACTTATTAATTAGAGAATTTTTATATGGGAATTCACGAATGAGGGGAGCTAAACGGAGAAATTTTTTAAAGCTCCAGTCGTTTCTGGGGCACTGACTTTTTTTTTCATCCTCAAATGAACTTTTCAAGTTTGTTAATGCTCAAAGGGTTTTGATGAATTTTTAATTCATTCTCAAGTTTAAATTGATTGTAATTTTCAATTATTAATACGAACTCGGAATTCACTTCAGCCGTTTGAAATAGTTCAGACACCCCTTCAACGTTGCCACAGCACGTTTACAATCGCGTGCAAGCGATAATTGTTGTATTTGAGAAGGCGAATGAGTTTTCAGAATTGTTTAAATGAGCCCAGTGTAATGTGTGGGAGGAATTTATGGGGTCACATTTAGCGGATAGACTTGATACTTTGAAATCCAGGGCTTTACTAATCTGAGGGTTTTTAAAGGGGATTTTTTGTTAATTCATGAACGAATGTTGAGATTTTCCAACGTTCCACCCCTCCTCCCACCCCCCTCGACGATTTCTAGGACATGGGGTTGCTTTATTAATACTCGAGTGAACTTTTAATGGGCACTCCGTTCACGTAAATAACCCGATGAATTTTTCATTCATCTTCAAACTTTTAATTGATTCTGATTCTCAATCGAAAATACCTCGGCAATTCTCATTTCTTATCTGGTTACTGATAATTCTCCGGAGTTATCTTCACCATCGTCTCAAGTGCTGAGATATTCATTGCTCCGAGAATAATCTAAATTTAGAAAATATACTTGAAGATTCTCCAAACTCATAAATATCGAGGCTGACGCGATAAATTTTTAATATTAATGAATTTATTTGATTAATTATCAGAATACCAGCTAGAAATATTGAAAAAAAATACAAATTATTTCGGAACATTACGTGAATAAAGAAAAAACAATAAATTCTCATATTTGGTATTTGTCTCTCAATATGACAATAATTTTTAAATATTTCGAATTACAGAATAAAGTTATGACCGATGCCTCGAAGATACTCCGCAACATAGACCGAATAACGAAATCAATCCGTAGAAATCCTCAGGCAGTACTTAGTATGGTACGCAAAATCTATCGATTTCTTAAAGTACACAGGAGTAATCCCCAGCTCGCTCAAGCAAATCACAACAACCGACTGCACTTAGGGATATTGCTTCAAAAATAATTGAGGGCAAGAGTATTTTGCCAGTATAATACTCCTGCGCAGTTAATAATGTATATCATAATCCCTTCATTTGTAATATTAAAAAAAATAATATAATGATATCATTATATCTCGACTTGTAACATTTTTCGGGCTAATATTTTCGCGAAGTCATATATTTACATTATAATATTTTCATTTATCATATTTTCATTATTGAATGAAATTTAGAACGGTCACCATTTACTTTTCATGTTCTAAATTTATTGTCTCTTCAACTCCCCGCGGAATATGTGGAAAATTAGAGGCTAATTTTCGCTAATTCGTCCTCCTGAAACCTAACAATGGAAGATAACGGGAAGATAATAAATAATTCTCTACATCCTCCCATTGCATGTCCACTATCTCCAATGATAAAACTGGTATGAAACATCAGGACTACCAGTAAAATATTAGAAATATGCGAACGACCGTAGGGGTTTACCAACATTTACTACAATATTTCTAGGGCATGGAGTTTTATTAGCACTCGAGTGAAGTTTTAATGAAACTTTCGTTCACGTAAATATAGTTAATGAATTTTTAATTCCCTCTGAAACTGCAATATAATTCTGATTCGAACAGAAAAATATGTCAGGAATTTTTATTTCTTATCATATTATTGATAATATCTTTATTAACTTCACTGTTGCCCGAGGCACTACAGAGAGTCATGATCAAAAAATAATCTGAAATTCCAAATGAACTGGAACGAAGGAAAAGTTCCATGGTCAAATGCCAGATAAAACCCCCGATAATTTGTACATCAACTATCGCTAATTGATCCCTTAACGACTAACAATTGAAGATAATGAAAAGATCATAAAGGATTTACTATATCGTTCGGTTGCCTGTCCACTTCCCCCGAGATAAAAATGATATGAACCATCAACGTTATCTGTGAAACACTAGAAAACCCACAACAACTGTTTAGATTTTCCAGGTCTACAGTAATTTCTCAGACACCGGGTAATTTAATCAGTAATCAACTGAACATTTAGCGCACATTCACTCCAATAACCGAGGAAATGTTCCACTCAGTCTAGAAATAAAAAATAATTTGAATCCCCAACGAGAAAATATCCCCGGAATTGTCATGTCTTATCGAATGAAACGAAACACTATATCAATGCAGAACTCATCATTTCCGAATCTCAGCGAGAACATCTTGCAATTTGATGATAATCTCTCAACTAATTCCCTATTAAAGTCGAGAATCGAAGATAATATTAAAAACATCATAAATAATATTCCCACCCAGCCATGACATGTCGACAAGTTTTAATAACAAAAAGGGATGAGTAGGCTATGAGGCATCAAAAGTACAAGCGAAACACAAAACAACCACCGTATAAACTCGTGGACATTTGGTCGGCCTCACGTGATGCCAGTTAATCGAATAATGGCAGCTGACTGGGTCACGACGGAAATTACATGGATGTAATTGCAGACTGTGCGCGATCTGTATTAAATTGGAAAGTGGATGCAAAACATGGGATATCACAGGTTTATTCATCCCCCACAATGTCAGGGTATTTTTCTATCTATTCTACCTACCACCTCGGTCACTATTTTCGGGTGGTCCTTCATCTCAAATTCTCCCGTTTATATGGTTTTTGTAATGGGGTGGGATTTCCGCTGGGGAGAACTGTATCTTGTCCCTGGTTATTGCGACACAACGGCGCCACAAGCCCACCGTTTAGAGCCGTAAGCTGACTTTGCCTCGCAGAATTTAATTTTACCACGGTAATTTACAGTATATCTCCACCACACCAACTCCCTCCCCCGTTTTATACGGTCCTCCTTCATTTCTTCAAAGCATCCCGACATAACGAACGACGGGGATAAACAGTTTTGCCAGCGCGAAAGCTCCTTTCTTCCCTGTACAACATTTTCAGCTTTGTGTATGTCTTTTTTTTTTTCTTTATTACTCTGTACCTTCCGCATCGCAATTCCTCGTTTAGCCGCCATTTTTCTTGTTTACTTCTTCTTGTATTCGTCAAGACTTTTTTCATTCACTTTCGACGGAGCTCCATCGGGTACAAAGGAAAAACTTTGATCAAGTTGTGAGTTAAGTTGCGAGTAAATTCATTCAATTTCTATTGGAGAGAGCGGTGAAGGTTTGAATGCAACGAATGGAGTTTGCAATTATAAGTTTGTTGATAATTTTGAAGGGGGCTCTTGAAAAATTCCACGAGCCGCTGATCATGTGGCTGGCCGAATTACTTCTACTCAAGTCTATTCATGTTTTGATTATGTTTGAAATTGCGATGGAGTGGTAGAGAAACAACTGTGTATCGTTGGTACAGGATGATCCACTAATTGGACTGTGAAAATGCATTGCTAGATGTGAATTTCATGGAGCGCATGCTGAATAACTACTAATTAATTGAATTAATTACTGGTACACGAGAGTTTGTGGTGTGGGGCATTATGAGGGAATCTTGCAGAGGATTAAAAATGAGGCAGAAGGGAAGATTGAGGTGGAATCCTTTTACATACATAGTCCGGGCAATTTCACCGTGTCATACATCCTCGGGGGAATGCTAAGATGTCGACAATTTTCTCGGGTAGAAACCATATCAAACCAGATAACGAGATAATAGTCACGGTAGTTCGCTCACAAGGCACTGCCTATCTTTCTTCTTGAATAACGTACACGTGTATAAAGAGGGAGAAAAGAGCTCAGTTGTACCAAAGTGGAAGGTACGGGAGGGCTCCAGTGTCGAGAGAATGCTCCTCGATCCACCATAAATCTTTCTAATCCTTGCATTTTGCGAGTAAAATATGACCCAGCTGAGTATATTTCTTCTACTTCAAGCGTACCCAAATGGAGAGGCTCGCATACGAGATTTTTCCCTCTTTTTGGATTTATTTTAACACATCGTTAAGGTTACGTTTTGAATATTAATGGGTCTTGCTTTCCACAATTTATTTATTTATTTTTTTTACGTTTGAGCTAATAGTGAGGCAATAATTCGGCGGGAATATTTTCATGTTGTCGGATGAAAGTTCGTACTCATGTGAATTACTCACAAAATTCCGAGGATTTTTCTACATTTCTACATTCCTCGATTTTTTTGTGATTGTGCATATATTTCTATATTATTAGCAGAAATTCCGAAGTTCGAAAAGCAATGGATGAAAAATCGTAAAATTCCTGACCCACAGCTGCGAATAGAAATGAATTCAATAAGAAAAATCACCGGCAGTGCCCAAGTTTCAATTTTCTCAAGTTAATAAATAGCTTCCAGCGATTGTAACCGACCCAATAATCTTATCTTCCTCGTGACCGATAATAGAATATCTCCACTACGCAAAAAAAAAAGGGAGTGAAATACAGCAGCCACTGTTCAAAGTTCCCAGTTACTACAAAGTATTTGCAGTAACATTCATTTCATTGCTATTTTTTTATTTACCACTCCGAGGGATATGCGGGCAGAGTTTGCGTAATAAGAGAGCAGATGCAGCGAGAGGATGTAGATGTATATGACATTAAAGTATCGAGAAAACTAGAGCAGAAGAGCGAGACAATATCGAGGCATCGAGTTGCGAATAGAGCGACAGTCTGTACAACGAATACATACATATAACACGTTACTCTCAAATGTAAAGTGTGTAGAAGCTGCCAGCGGCGAAAAGAAACGAAACTTTTGGATAAAACACATAAACTATAACAAGTTTTATGCAACGTGGAACTTTGTTATTTACGCTTTTCGACTATTTTGTTTGAACATGGCAACAAAAAGATTATTATCAGAGTGACGGCAAGCATTTTAAAGGAATTATATGAGCGGAAGGAGAAAAGTCATTACGAGTGAGAAAAAATTTTTAAACAGACAAATAAAAAGAGGATGCAGAGATACCAATTGATAGACCAATAAATTGAGGAGTGAAAGTATTAGGTTGAGGCTAGCTTGCGGCTAAACGACAAAATATTTCTCCATAACCAACGTTAAACAAATAATCATTGTTTTGCCTATTACGAACCGCTTTTAATCTCCAAGGTGAAGGATTCGTTGCCCTTAGCACACTGGTACTTCCCCATGTGCTCTTCCTTAGCTGAGTTACTGTATAGCGCTGATGTTCCATTCTTAAGTGGATCAACCGCAATCTCACCAGTTTTGAGTTGCGCGATTTCTTGTTCATTTTTCCTCCACGCCACTTGATTTCCAGGTGGATTGTGACAGTTTATTCGCCACGGTTGTCCCTCGAGGATAGCTTCCGTTGGTCCAGAGTATTGCACTTTTTTCAACAAGAATTTTAACAATCACATTATCTCTTACTTGTTACTCTTGTTAGCATAAATAGAGGGATAATTAAGACGCTTAATTAAACCATTCGGAAGTCCTTGGAATTTGTGATTCTGGGATTTTTTTTAATCATTTAGATGGGTAGAGTTCAATCGTTGGAGTAATTTTCAATCTCACGCATTGTCGTTGGGTATAATTTGGAGGTTCCAGATAACGATACGTTAAATCGAGGAATTTTCAGCGGTTTAAAATAAATAGTTGATTCTGCTGATATGATAAGGGATTGTTTGTGAGCCCGAAAAAAAATCTAGTCCGTACGCAAACTCATTAAATAAATTTGTTTACTGTCAAGTTAAAAGATGACGCATGTTTCTCAACGATGATGACGCGCCAATAAGAGCTAAAAGAATGACGTGAGCTCTGGTAATTGACCGTTCTGAGTCACCCCTTGTTCGTAATTGAGAAAAAATCATTGAATACATTAGCAGCGATAAAATGGAATCAATAGATTATTCAACGGGTAAAATGCCCTTTCGATAAATTTTTTTCTTCATACCTCGGTCGAAAGTACGTACTTCCTGCTGCGATTTCGAAGCAGAAAGTCTATGTTTCTTGCATCGGCAAGCTACGCATCTGCCCTCTACAACAGCGGGAGTAAAAACTTACTCGTGTGCATCGATACTCAATACACACGAGACTCCCATTATATTCCCTCCCTGCGGTTCGCGGCACATCTCCCCATAACCTTATAGTTCGTTTCCTGGTGTTAAACTTAGTGAATAATCATAATTGAGGTGATAAGTGTTGCAAAAGAAAAAAAGCAATGAGCGAAATATCATCATCGAACGAATCGACGGACGAAGAAGAAGTCGACAGAAATTTCGAAGCAGAAGCAAGATTAATCGTCGAAACTGACACCTTGCCAAAAAAATCTGCTGAGAGATACATGCTTGTGTACGAAGCCTATAATAAATGGAAAGTAGAAAATAAAAGTGCCTTATCTCAATCTGAGGAGAGTAATCTCATTGTATATTTCAAAGGGTTAAGTCAAAGGCTAAGTCCAAATACTCTATGGAGTATCCATTCTATGCTGAAAACGACTTTGAATACCAAAAATAATATTGACATAAATAAGTTTTATAAATTGAAAAGCTTGATTAAAACTAATTCCAAAGGTCACAAACCAAAAAAATCCCTAGTATTAACGTGGAATGAAGTTATCGAGTTTCTCACGAATGCGCCGGATCACGTATATTTAGCTTCGAAAGTAAGTATTTATAACCTTAATTATTTAATTAATAATTCAATTAATTAATTTCTCCACTTATTTTCCTATTTTTAGGTTATCCTCATTTTTGGTATTTGTGGAGCTACCAGGTGCGAAGAACTGAAAGAACTTAAAGTTGACGACGTACAAGACCTCGGTGGCAAATACCTGGTTTCGATAAATGATACGAAGAATGATCTGCCTCGTAAATTTTTAATTGGAGATCTTTTTTATGAAAGAGTTAGAAAATATATATTACTAAAGCCTGCTGACTTTGACACTACGAGATTTTTCATCCAATATCACAATGGTAAATGCGAACGTCAAGTGATAGGCAGAAATAAAATTGGACTAATTCCGAGATCTATTGCTTCGTATTTAAAATTGAATAATCCAAGCCGATATACTGGGCACTGTTTCCGTAGAACTGCAGCTACACTGTTATCTAACTCCGGAGCAAACAGTACTATGCTCAAGCAATTAGGAGGGTGGAAATCAACTGGTATCGCAGAAGGTAACTCTTTTATTTATTTGCTAAAAAATAATCCATGTTTCCTGTAATTTGCAAACTTGAAATATATTTGACGTTAACTCTCTATAAATACGTTTATACCTGAATGTTACTTATTTTTTATGTATACTTGTAACTTGTAAATAATATATATTTTTACAGGATATGTTGAAAACTCATTGAGGAACAGGCAAAAAATTTTTGACAACATAACTCATGCGGGTATATGCAACACTCCATCAAGCCCTCAGCCATCTACGAGTAGGAACAGTGCAGCTAACGTGATGAATATCACTAAAAATGAAGAGTCTACAGAAATGAAAGTCGACAATGATTATTTCTTAGAGGAGTTTGACATAGATAATGAAACTCTAGCAGAAATCGAGAGATCGGCTCTGTCAGAGATACCAAAATCGACGATGCCTTCTTTTACTACAGGAAATCACCAACGAATAATTTTAAATTCCAATCGTCAATCCACAAAACCGACACATTTCCTGAAAAAACCACCAATTTCTGTTTTTTCGCATGGAATCGAAAATGAACCGCCAATAAAAAAAAATAAAGTCGAGAAAATGACAACTCACACAAATACCCATACATCGGAATTTACTAATTCATTTGCAACTAAAAATCCAGGTGTAATATATCATAACTGTGTATTTAATGGCAATATTATTAATAATTTTTCTTCAGCAAATAGTCAAGATGAACATAAGGGAAAAAATATTTGATGTGTTGGAAGCGATTCAAAGCAAAAGATGTAAATTTCCACTATCAGTATTTTGTTGTAAAACACATGAAATATTAAGATTTTATTATTATTTTTATAAAACTATTACGATGTAACGAGTATAAAACAGTTGAAAATAACTGTTAAAACACAACTAATATAATTGTTCTGGTTATGATGCAAATATAAAATGTTTATAAAATTACAATTGTGTCTTCCAAACGGGTGTATCTATACCTTCATTTCTAGATTTGTTTGATTGACGCCTGCCCCCGACCAGCAGCACTCGCTTCGCTCGTGCAGCAAATGTCGGGGCAGGCGTCAAGATACCTTTCGATACATACGAACAAACAGTCCGTACTTTCGACCGGCTATGAAGAAAAATAGTATACACTACATGGGCAGATAGTTGAAATCCCTGAACAGCGCGTTATGATGCCCTCGGCTTCGCCTCGGGCATCATCACGCGCTGTGCAGGAAATTCAACTTTCTGCCCTTGTAGTGTAATATACTATTTTCGCATTCAGTTTTAGCGGACGTGCGCGGGGTTTGATGTGTTGTATGCGCGCGCCAGAAGCACGTGCTCCCAGCTGGTTTTAGATCGAAAAGCAAAACGAAGGCCAACGGGAGAGGTAACTGATTAGATTCGAAATAAAAAAAAAATTTCCACAACACTTGTACACAATTCGATCAACTTAATCCATCCGCGTCAGGTGTTCCCACCTCATTATTCACTTTAATTAATCAAGGTTGTGATATCAACAGCAGACTGGATGTTTATCCCCTTATATTGCAAAATGAAAGCCGTTGAGCCTACCAGCGAAAATAAAAATGATAAATGAAATTGAAGGAGAACCCGATGATGTCATGTGTACTTGAAAAACTGATCGATTGTCCCCAGACGTGCGCAACCCCCAACGTCAGAAAATTCCCTATAACCTCCCCCAAACGACCACACGTTTCTCAGCATCTCATCAATTATTGAAAAATGATAAAACAATGAATAAAAATGAATTAACGCAGAAACTGAAAGATTCAGATGATGAGGTGTGATTTATCACATAAATAAGTAGCAGTGTCTGTGTTAAGTAGAAGCAGGTGATTAGAGAATGGGGTCAGACTCCCTGATTAAGTTGAGAAATAAATCCTCATAAAAACGTAATGAAATTTGAAATAAAACATGGACTCACCAGCCTGGATCGTGGCGAGGGTGCTAGCTAAATATAGAAAACCCAGTAGCAGAACAGAATCGGCCTGCCTCTTCATTCTTGTCGTCATACGTATGAATTCTCCGTATGTAATGTTGTGTTACAATGTCGTCCACTGAAAAAAATTATCGTGAGACAACGAGTCATGCGAAATGGTTAAATTGGGTCTGACGGGATGTGGAGAATTGTATAATTAGTTACAGGGAGTAATTTTTTTTGATAATCTGACAACTGAGATGTGAAGAAACTCGATAACCACAAATATAATGTCTGAACCTGGGTAGGGGCAGCACTGGTGTCTCTACCGTCTCCTTTCAATCTGGATCTCTCGATTGATTCCAAAATGCCCGCACTGTCTTGTTACACCCTCGTCACAAATTTTTTTTTATCATTCGTTATCAACAACACTGAACTGGGGGGGATTAAATAATCGGTATTTTACGTCAGTGTTTTATCGGTGGAAAAATCTGTACCACTTGACAATGGGTTTTCTCAGTTGGTAGATGGGAGGTTTAAGTGGAGAGACTAAACACAATGAAACACACACCACTGAGGACTGGCGTTCCACCCGCGGAATGGTTAAATGGTAAATGAGGGACCAATCGCGAGACTTCCAATACTCCTGTCACTCTTTCACTAGATGACTTTACGATTTTCCTTCACTCTCTGTCGGGTTGACACTGGCCGATTGCACTAGTTGTGTTTCGTTTTCCTCTGTCACGAGGCAATTCTCTGTCTCAGTTTTTCCGACCGAATTCGGGGAATCGTGGAACTGGAATATTTCCCGCAAAACTCGTTGAACGGTGGAGGCGCTGACGATTTACGCGCTGGTCATATCGCGCACACGCGGGAATATTTGAACTCGGCAGGATTTTTTTTTCTTATCCATAGATCTGGATATTTCACAAGTTTGTGGAACCCGTTATTTTTATTTGATAATTACGCAATTTTCCGGTCGTTTTTATTATAATTTTTCTCTCTATTTATTTTTCTTTCTTCATTAATTCTTGATCTATTTTTAAATTTAATTAATTGATTTTGTTATAGAAAACAATTCCTAGTTTTTTTCATTCTCTGGACCATTATGCAGTTCTAGGGGAAATCAAAATAATTTTTCAAATCTTTCTATCTTTAAAAAAATATGAATTTGATTGATTGATAGGCTATCTAGAGGGATTCCCTAAAAATAGAATAAATAAAACGAAAATAAAGCAAAAAACTCTTTGATAATGTCCATCATCGGATGAGTTTCACATTCGAATTGGCTTCACCGATGTTTATTGTACTGAATTTACTATATTTTTAAACAATGCAGAATTTTTTTTTTCGAAACCAATTTGCGATCATTTCAGTGTGTTGCGAGAAAGACATTCGAAGGTGTCAATTTTCACTACTCCAATCGAAAGAATAATAATAATGATTATTATTGAACAAAAGAAAAACAAAAATGTTCAGGGCTGAGCATTTATTAACGAGTTATAATTTTTCATTTTGGTAACTGTTTGACTCATTCTTGGGTGAGCCACTTCCGGCGGAAATTCAATGTTTTGATTCCTTTGTTGTACGCGGGATCGACAGTTAAGCAGATTGTTGTCATCGGTGAATCGCCTCGAGAAACAGAAGTCAAAATATCTTGCAGTGTTATTTATCGGACTAATGGCGAATGGTATCGACGGATAGAATACCTTGAAACGTTGATATTTTGACATCAAATGTAAACACGAAGACTGGGAGTGTGAAACATTGTGTTGGACAGGTTATTTCGAGGATCAGTCGTTCGATACTAGTTGAGGTTCACCTTATCGGTCGGTTTGCGGTACATAATTGACGGTTTAGTGAATATCCAACTGATTTTCGTACATTGCAATTAGTGTCTGTGAAACTTAGACCTGTTGGACAATTGAACGCCTGAGGCTAGCATACACCAAGTGCAAGATCAAATCAAAACTCGTGAAATTCATCAGCAACTGAAGAGAACAGTCGAATACAATTGTTAATATCAAGTTAATTAGTGATGAATTGCAGGTTATATTGGTTCGTCAATCATTCTTGGATAACTCAAAGTTCGTGTGAAACAACGCCTATTGTTGTACCTCGTGTTAAACAGTTATTTTCATAAATAATTACGGAATATTGATGGAGAAGGAATTATTAATTTCGGGCTCGTGATGGGTAGTTTATATTTTAGAGAATTGTGAACTCTATTTTCAGTGTGATGAGTGCCAGTAATATTTGGAATGATGAACAATGAATCGCTTGGAGCTATGAATTGTGTTGTTTGGAGTATAATAGACGAGAGTGGAACCATCAGGTCTTTGTTATTAGTAAATCTCTAAAACTGAATGTGGAATACGCTTTTATAGTATTTATTCATCTCGATATTATTCGTATGGTGGTAATTCATTAGACTATTTAAACATGGCGTATTTGCGTTTCCATATTTTCACGGTTTTGTTTTACTAATGCATTATTCAAAAATGGTGAAGTGAAAGTTATTATTGAGTTCGTAGTGGATAATTAACTTTTTGGAAAATGGAAAGCTCAACATTCGGTGGTGACAATCAGTGAGAGTTGGACTGCAAAATTAAATGCTCAGTACTTTGAGTTGTGTTGTGGTACGGTGGCAATGTCCTTCAGACATCAAGTGTTCAGTAGTAACAAATACTGAAATTTAATTTCGGTGTTTTAATTACGCAAGAATTGTTGTGTGAAATCTGGTGAAATCGTCGGCATGCAATTGGATTCAACGAATTCCGGTTTTCAAGGGAGTGGCGTCGCCTGGAGCATGTGAGGGGTGAGTTAATTATGAATTCAGTCATATGATTAATGAATGCCAATCAATTAATTTCGTTTTCACGCGGTGCGACATGGACACATCTGATTTAAATATTTTCAACCCCCCGGTAAAATATGTGCAGTAAATTTGCTTTGACAAAAATTTCACAAGAAAATTATAATTTCTACCAGATTGCATTGCTACGGTAGATTTTATTATAGACTAGCATTGAGAAAATTAGGATCCATCCTATATTCCTCAAATTGCACTGCAATCTGAAATTTATCGGGGCACAGGAAAAAAAATCGCGTATTCACGAAAAAAAAATTTCCAGCCGGAAAACTGAAATTTCTCTTCTCTTCTTTTCCCATGCTAACACTAGAACTTTTCTGAGGAATTTGTCTCCGCGTAGAGAGGGATTTAAACAAAAAGAAAGAATTCGAAAACACTTGGATGTCTGAAAATATTGGCCCAATAAATCATTGCCCTAGAAACCCAGTAAAGTTTTTTTATATTAAACAACGACGGCTTCCGACTGAAGGCATTGAAATCGGATTTTCCTCGAGTTCGGGTTAATTGCGAACGTTCTACCAGCAGTTAATTAAAACAAAGTTCAGCGAGGGTTCCTAAACAATTCGGTGAAACTAGAAATGAACAGAGGAGCAGCAATTGAGGTGGCAGGGGGGTACATTGTGGATATAGGTGTGAGGTAGATAGAATTCACTTGAGCACTCGGTGAGAAAGTCGTCCCTACTGCCCTCATTCAGTACCCGTTAATCCTCCACCTAAACGCATCCCCTTGGCTCACTATTTTCCAAGTGTATTCGCCCCTTCACTTTATCCCCCGACCGCTCCACTTGCTCTTCACTCGGTTATTAAACACATTTTGACCGAGCCAAACCCCGAAAATGTCAGAGACTAATGTCACACCCGACCAAAAGTGTAATTGAACTCTCATTGCACTGCTCATTCTATTTTCCACTGCTCTTTCCCTCGTCTCCCATTCATTTCCATTTCATTCACTGGACAGTTGGATTTTTCATTGATTTTTGATTGATTTTTCAAACAAATCCATCGAATTGCTGTCACTTCCCATCAAAGGCCTCAACCAAATACTCCCAACTGCAATCTTTTGAAGAGTTTAGTAAAAAAAAATAAATGGTCAAACTTTTTTCAACAAATTGAACATCGAATCCAGTTGGGAATAACCTCGGAGAATATTTCCCTTTACCCACTGCAAAAGTTTTGGCATTTGGGACGATAAAAGTTGGATGTTCCAGTTTGACTCTGGAATCATCAAAAATTCATCAAAATTCCATTTTCCTCAACAACTTTATTAACCTTACCAGCGAGTTAGTCTATTATCTCGGTACTTTTAGTCCCCCCACCGTTGTCGATGGAGTTAATTGTTACCGATACTCGAGACAAGTCCTATGGGAGTTAAAAGTGTACATTACGCCACTCAAGTCTCGTGAGTACAAGCGCAAGTTCGGTAGTTGTCCTTGCGACAACAAGACCCGATCGAGCGCAAGTCTCACAAGTGAGACAACACGGTAGGGTAGGAGAGCAGGGGGTGGCGTCGGGGAAAAAGGGGGGACGAGAGCAAAAAGACGTCTAAAAAATGAGATGAGGAGGGGATGTAGTTTCCACACTAAAGTGGAGTGTGAGCCAAAGAGGTTTGAGAGTTAGCATGAGTGAGTGAGACGTAGGCAACAGCAATTGTAGGTGTATATACTTTTTGGGTGAATGTGGGTGGTACGCGTTAGGGGCGGGAGGGAGATATGGTGTATGGAAGGGTGGAAGAAGGGTGGAAGAAGGGTGGAAGGAGGGGGAAGTGGGGGGAAGAGGGGGATGGGAGAAGAACGCGACGCCAGGCGTCGTGGCGCCGGCTCGGCATCCGGGCGTCGCTCGTCTACGTCTCCCACTCTTCGATATATCGATTGGCCTACCTCTTTGTCCCACTAGTGGCCCTAGAATGCCTCCCGCGTGCGTTCAGACACACACATGTGCCCTTTCCACTCTCAATCTTCACTTTTTTTTTCTCACTCTCTTTATCTTGCATTGTACGATGAACGGATTCCGGAATCTTTGAGACTCCACTTGAGCATTTACCACCCCCTCCCATGTACCACCCACTTTGGCTGCCTCGGGGGTGGGTTCTCTCTCTTTTTTTTTTTAGATTTTTTTATTTCTTGTGAAATCAAGATATGAAGAGCCAGAGTCAGAGCAGTTGTTTCTGTCTCACTGGGGTAATTTAAAATCCGGGCAATAGAGTTAGGGGGAATCAAAAGGGCGGTGGTGGTGAATCCACCAGGCCATTATGCCTCCGGGGGAGGGTTTGGGTGCCAGGAGAATGAGGACTCGCGGGGGTGAGAGGGTTACCCTCAAACAAAACGTCCGAGAGGCAAAAGCAGGTCAACCCGCAAATCTTCCTTCCTTCCTGTCGCCATCTCCTTTGCACTCGGTTTCGCTCCATCCTTGCACACTTTGACCCCTTTGGTGAACCAGAAACTCAAGCTTGCTGCATTCCTCGGGGGATTTTTCGCTTTTCAGGGGATGTCTCGGTGGGTGATATATTCGCGGGATCGATTTGACGGGGAGAGACTAATTGCTTGGGGATAAGAGCATCCCTTAACCCTATGTTTTTGGGAATTTGAGGAACCCGGGGAACAATTAGGGGATGAGATGTTGCTTTGGGGAATTCACGGATTTTAGTGATATTTGAGGCTCCCAGGGCACGGGGAAAATATGAAGAGTTTGGTAGAATAATTGGGGGGATGAATACGGGAGATTTTTTCATTTCGGTGGTGATTTTTTATTTATTTATTTATTTCTCCAGTTTTTTTTTCACATCATATCGCACTCTTGTAACATTTACAGGTCGAATTAATGAACTCGTGTATATTTGTTGATTCATAATTTTCTTTTC